GGTTGAAATGACGCTCACTTACCTGTTAGGCCCTGTGGCGTATTATCAACGCCACGGCCACTGGATGATCGCGAGGCTGTCAGGACTGTCTGCATGCCACGACAGGTCATTGGGTTTGCGCTAAGCTGGCGTGACGCCGTGCGTCTACGGATTCCACCTGCCGACTCTCCAGCCCACGTTCCTGTCAGCATGGCGCAGTGCCATTCCGGTACAGACCGTGCACGCGCGGACCGGAGCAGTGACCGCCAGATCTGCTCAGTCTGCCCGCGACTCACTAGCGCCACCTGTTGACTGACAACCAGCGCCGTCTGCCGGCTGTACCCTGGAGCACGGGCAGCCATCGCCAGCTACCTGCTTTCGCCGCCTACCTGCAGAGCGGCCCGGGTGGCCGGGCAGCTGAGTGCCGCTCGGGAGCCGCGGAGCGCGGTGCACCACGCGGTACGGAGGCCTCTGAGTCGCCGTCTCCAGTGCCAACACCCAGCTCCGTGTATGGGAACAAGACCAGGGCCCCCAGGCGCCGCCATCGGAGAACATTAACCGCCCTCAGACGCTGCCGGAGAGAGGAATTACGATGAGCCCGTGAAAGTTCCAGTTCGCTCGGCAGTCGCTAGACTGCTGCGGCTGTCGGATCTCTGACCAGAGCTACACAATCGACGACGGCAAGCTGCGGGCGATCTCAAGCTGCTGCAGGCGATCACAGAGCTCCCGCGTCCAGAGAACTTAACCGACTTGAAGTCGTTCTTGGGACTCTCCAATCAGCTGGCGGGCTTTTCAGCAGACATCACCAGCGCGGCCCAGGCTCTCCGAAACCTCAGGCTGTCCACCATGCTCCAGACGGACTCTGCAGCAGCCCGCGGCCTGGGTTTCGTCCTGTAGCAGCGACACGGAGATACATGGGAGTTATCCCAGTGTGGCTCCCGCTTTCTTGCAGACGACGAATCACGACATGCAGCGGTGGAGCTTACAGGTCTGACCCGTTGGTGGGCCTTCTGCAACTGCGACATGTTTTTGGCCGGCCTGCCACACTGCCCGTCGTGGATCATCGACCACTCGTCCCGATCTTGAATTCGGGGAGGTTGTCTGCGATCGACAGCCCTAGTCTCCAGCGGATGCGGAGAAGATTTGGTGACAATCCAATTGGTGACAAAATTTTGCAATTTAAAACAATTTCCAACATACTAGAACATATAACAACAGACCACTCCAGCTAACTTAAACTCAAAGCTGCACATGGACTCATTCACCTGCCGTCCCCTCATAGTCTAGGCAGGTGTGTCCATTAATTCTCCCCCACTACCGTGCTACACCGCCCGCCCTTATTCGAGGTTCGAACTGCGTGCCCCTTCAGGTTCCAACCCCTCCACAGAGGGCCTCCTTTGTACTGACTGCGCGACTGAAAACGACCAACTCTGACAGCCAACACTTTGCATCACGAGAGACCAGAACGACTAAATCGACAACGAATCAGATGAGTATTGCTGGAACCAGACCCAGCCATAGCAGACCCCCCCCCCCCCGCCCTCCCCTTCCTTGAGTCCCGAACGGCCTCGGGACAGCCGAGTAGGGGCCAGATACGAGGACCGGCTGGGCTGTCCGGAGATTGTATCAAAGCGGCCAAGTGCCGGACAGTGTGCGTCCTAGTCCATATCAACTAAAAGTGGATGCTGCGTCGGCAACGACCCCCTAACTTGCCCGAGAAACATTTGCTGAACAGCTGGATATGGTAGGGATGACATGGATTCACTCCGAATTCCAAAGTATCTCTTACGTTGGTTGGGGCCCTCTGATGATAAAAGTAGATATTAGGCGTTATCATGAGGTCCACAATTAGACGGTGAAAGAGGAACGACTTCGCGCAGACGCAGTGGAACAGTGCGATGCGGAGCGGCGGACAAGCCGACCCATTGCACAACCTGTATAGAAAATGGTCTCGTTGTGTAGATGCTGTCGCTTGTGTCGATTGGGGACCAGGGTGAAAAATTAGCATTACGTAATATTATGCATATGTCATGTGCTGAATACATAAGGTTACGAGAAAATGAGAGCCCACATGCAGCCTACATGGATGCGAGCCCAGCTGGCCTATGCTCAGCCCATATGGACCCTAGTCCAAGCAGTGGTCCCATGCTTTATAATAATTATAGACGATACCGTGAAAGCAAAACAATAAAAAGCCTTGATATAAACATGAATATTGCAAGTGGCAGCTTGATTGCGCATGTCACAAAAGGGTCAGGCCATTTGGGCCCCAGATTACACCTGAATACCAGCCAATGTGCAGTCCATGTGGACATGAGGCCAACTGGCCCACATATGGCCCATATGGACCACACCGAAGCAAACTTTCCCTCATGGTGACTTACATTTTCTTGACATGATACACTGCGACTGGACAGTGCAAGACACAACTATTTGTAGAACATGCAGAAAAAGAAATGATGTGGTCGCTCCATGTGAGACGAGGCTGGAGCCCAGCTAAAAGCCAATTCATAGCCAATGCCCACCTTACCGAGTGCTGTCATTGGGATCGCTGGCTGGGAGACAAACGATTTCAATGAAACACGCGGTGTAGACGATGGTTTGCCGTTGTGAATTTTTGAAGTGTTTTTTCTTTGCGTTCGATCTGCACGTTTTCAGTGAATACAAGACCTAATAACACATAAGACCAAGACCAATAACACACAACATTAAAACAAGTTGCTGGTTTTATCTCGAAGTACAACCCAGATGGGAGCACAAACCCTAGGAAGCTAACTCAGCCGACTACGACGCGGTCGGTCTGTCGGCCGCAATCAGCTGTATCCGGCTGCCCATCAGCACATCCAGCGGACGAATATCGATATGCAGGTACAATATCAAAAAAACAGATGGCAGGGAAAACAAACAGCAAAACCCTTAAGATAAATTGAATAGCGTGGAATATTCGGTGAACTACGTCAAGACCAAGGCACCAGCATTCAAAAGCGAAATAAATAATGCATGTGATGCGTGCCTAAGCAAAGTTATCGCATACCAAATGTATTGCCAAAACAGTAGGGAAGCGCCACGTCTAGATGCCATGCGACTGCGAGCCTTCTATAAGAGGCGTACAAGCGTGCGGACGCTTCGGGTGTCCGGCCGCAACGGCCGGCGGCCGTGGCCCGGTTCTCCGCCTCGGGTGGGCGGGTGGGGGGCTGCCGCCGATCGGTGCCCGAGCAAGGATGGCCGCCCGCTGAGGGCGGCTCGAGTGCGAAGCGGACGAATGGAGCGATTCGTCGTGGTTGGTACGCATTTGCTGATTGATTGGATAATGCACGGTGCGAACGAGGCTGAGCATGCGCTCGCAGCGCACCGAAAATGGGACACGTTTGTGACTGTGGTGACAATTTTTCGGCACAATATTGTCGCTCGCAGGTACGTTTTCATCGCCGGCGGGCGCCTCTTGATGATTGAACGTGCTTAGGTGTCTGCGCGTCCGGCAGAGGCTGAACGCCACGTCACGTGGAACAGCACACTCGGCGTGAGCATGGCGCGACAGGTTCAGCCTCGCCCCGATTGTCCGTCATCAAGTGGAATAGGTTATGCCAACGCGACGGCACGCGCGGCGAACACACCGCCGATCTGACTGCTCCGCGTGCAAAGTTCACATGCCAGATGACAGCGGCGACGCGAGAGGCCGGCAGGCGAACAGACACAACGCTACGCTGGCACTCAACGAACGCTGGACACTGTGCGGCTTGTGCGTGGTGGGCGCCAAACGGCTGTTGTCTTGCGCTCGGGTCGCACACCGCTTGGTGCTGCGCAGGCCGTCGGCGAACGGCTCGCCGGTCGTAGCATGATTGTGTCCGGCATCTGTCGGCGCTGGGTGTGGCCCGTTTGACGGTTGCACGTGCGCGGCACGGCTCTGCGAAAGGGCACGGCGCCACGAGGCCAGCCGGCCACCGCTCGACGACGTCGACCGGACGTGGCGCACGGACGCGCGCCGAGTGCTTGCAGCGGCCGATTCGGACACCGGCCGACAGTGAATTGTCACCGCCGCCCATCGCCATGGTGCGTGCTGTAATTGTCCGATACAGAGGCGGCCGGCGCGCGTTCGCAGTTGAGCGCTGGCCATATTTCGGGCGCGCTGACGGGGCGCCGTGACGTCATGGCCAGACGGTCGCGCGGTACGGTACAGTGGCCGGCGTGTGCCCAGCACTCTGCGCGTGCAGCCGGCATTCCGTATTCCGCCATGACTGAGACGTCCGCTGCGCCAGCCGCCGCCCCCGCCGCCAAGGCGGCCAAGGCCAAGGTGCCTAGGGCCAAGCCCGCTCATCCGCCCACCAGCGAGATGGTGCAGGGCGCCATCAAGGGCCTCAAGGAACGCGGCGGCTCGTCGCTGATCGCCATCAAAAAATACATCGCCGCCAACTACAAGGTGGACGCCGAGAAGCTGGCGCCTTTCATCAAGCGCGTTCTCAAGTCCGGCGTGACCAGCGGTGCGCTTGTGCAGACCAAGGGCAAAGGCGCCAGCGGCTCGTTCAAGCTGTCGGCCGCCACCAAGGACAAGCCCGCCAAGAAGCCGGCCAAGTCGCCCAAAAAGAAGCCCGCCGGCCCGGCCAAGGCCAAGAAGACGCCCAAAAAGACCACCAAAAAGCCGGCTGATAAGAAGAAGGCCACCAAGTCGCCGGCCAAGGTTAAGAAGGCCAAGCCCACCAAGGCCAAAAAGGCCAAGTCGCCGGCCAAAAAGCCCAAGGCGCCCAAGCCAAAAAAGTCGCCGGCCAAGAAGGCCGCCAAAAAGACCACTGCCAAGAAATAGGCTGGCGTGCCACCACCCCCGTCCGTCGGGGTGCTGCAATGGCTCTTATCAGAGCCACATAACTCGCTCCTGTACTATCAGATCGCAGACTGTCTCGCATAATTGGGCTGTGCAATCGTGCACGCCAAACGTGTCACCCACAGGGGTGTGGCACTTTGGTCTGTTTCTGCAAAGAGGCTTTGCGTTTGACAGCGTCTGGCAGAGCGCCAGCTAGCTGCTCTGACATTTCAGACAACTCGTTGCCGTGCGTTCGTGTCACACCCAGGCTCGTACTCCATGCCACTGTCTCTGGTCCTAATAAGGACCTGTTGATGATTTCGCTCTCAGCGCTCTTAAGCACGCTCGCCACGAATGCGACGCGCCAGCTGGATGTCCTTGGGCATGATGGTCACCCGCTTGGCGTGGATGGCACACAGGTTCGTGTCCTCGAACAGACCGACCAGGTACGCCTCGCTGGCCTCCTGCAGAGCCATGACAGCGCTGCTCTGGAAGCGCAGGTCCGTCTTGAAGTCCTGCGCAATCTCGCGCACCAGCCGCTGGAACGGCAGCTTGCGAATGAGCAGCTCCGTGCTCTTCTGGTAGCGACGGATCTCGCGAAGAGCCACCGTGCCCGGACGGTAGCGGTGAGGCTTCTTGACGCCGCCGGTGGCCGGCGCGCTCTTGCGAGCCGCCTTAGTGGCCAGCTGCTTGCGCGGCGCCTTGCCGCCGGTAGACTTGCGTGCCGTCTGCTTGGTGCGCGCCATTATTCAAACCGTAACGGTCGTTGGCGCCAACAATCGGTCACAGTTGCACGTGCGTCGACGGCGCCAAGTAACTGCGCATGCGCAGAGTGGCGCGCCTCACGTGCGGCGCGCGGTATGGTCCCGCGGCCGGCGAGCCCCACCGAGTCCGGGTGTGGTGCGCCATCTACCCTGGCGGCCACTGAAAAGCTGTCGACATGACCGGCAGAGGCAAGGGCGGCAAGGGACTCGGAAAGGGTGGCGCCAAGCGTCATCGCAAGGTGTTGCGCGACAACATCCAGGGCATCACCAAGCCGGCCATCCGTCGTCTGGCTCGTCGCGGTGGCGTCAAGCGCATCAGCGGCCTCATCTACGAAGAGACGCGCGGCGTTCTCAAGGTGTTCCTGGAGAACGTTATCCGCGACGCCGTCACCTACACCGAGCACGCCAAGCGCAAGACCGTCACCGCCATGGACGTTGTCTACGCTCTGAAGCGCCAGGGACGTACTCTGTACGGTTTCGGCGGCTAGACACCTCCAGCGGACGGCGCGGTAGCGGCCCATTGGCAAACAGGCCTTTTTGAAGGCCAAATATCTCGTTCCGTCGACTGCGATCACATAGTGGACACAAATGGCGCCAGCGCCGTTAGTGTTCGGCACGCCATTGCTTTATCGTCGTCGCCGTTACCATGTTCGCTTTTTGACGGCCTATTTCGGTTGCCGTCTGTTGCCGTCAGCGCTGCGCAATGGCGCGGATCAACAATGCATAAAAACAAATGAGAGTAAATAAGATTCAATAAGAAATAGCGCATGCCAGTGCCGGGCTTTGAATCCCGGCCACGCTTCTCGTCTACGTTTTGCGCCATGCCAGAGGCACTCTGGCGCCAGTGCCGTTCCTGTTCGGCACACTGCGCTGCTTTATCGTCTCCGCCTTTTGACGGCCTATTTCGATTCTCGTCAGGGCTGTGCGATGGCACGGATCAACAATACATAAAAATGAGAATAAATCAGATCCAATCAGAAATGGCACACGCCAGTGCCCGGCCTTCAATCCCGGCCACGTTTCTCGTCTACGTTTTGCGCCATGCCAGAGGCACTCTGCCATCGGCCGTTGGCCGGTTGGGTGACACCGTGCGATCGCTCTCGAAAGATGCCGATTGCGTGGCCTTTAAAAAGGCCTGTTGTGCGCTGACACGCGTGCGTGCGGACGCTGCTTACTTCTTCTCGGTCTTCTTGGGCAGCAGGACGGCCTGAATGTTGGGCAGCACACCACCCTGGGCGATGGTCACGCCCGACAGCAGCTTGTTGAGCTCCTCGTCGTTGCGGATGGCCAGCTGCAGGTGGCGGGGGATGATCCTGGTCTTCTTGTTGTCGCGAGCGGCGTTGCCTGCCAGCTCGAGCACCTCAGCGGCCAGGTACTCCATGACGGCGGCCAGGTACACCGGCGCGCCGGCGCCAACGCGCTCGGCATAGTTGCCCTTGCGCAACAGACGGTGGATACGACCGACCGGGAACTGGAGTCCAGCCCGCGACGAGCGAGACTTGGACTTGCCCTTCACCTTGCCGCCCTTGCCGCGTCCGGACATGGTTGATGTGCTATGCAGTGCAGATGACTGGCTGGCGAGCGCGGCCGCGCGTCAGGGTTATTGACTCACGCTAGCGCTAACCGGCCGCCCGACGCCGCGCCACTGATCGCCGCCCGGCGCGGCGCACGCCACCGAGAGTACACATTGGCGCGCGCCAGTGGCGCCCCGGCGCGGCTATAGAAAGCAAACCCGGACGGCGGCGCGCGCACAGATCGCTGCACAGCCGGGAAGCAAGTATGCCGCCCAAGACGAGTGGAAAGGCCGCCAAGAAGGCCGGCAAGGCCCAGAAAAACATCTCCAAGGGAGACAAGAAGCGCAGGAAGAAGAGGAAGGAGTCGTACGCCATCTACATCTACAAGGTGCTCAAGCAGGTGCACCCGGACACCGGCATCTCGTCCAAGGCCATGAGCATTATGAACTCGTTCGTCAACGACATCTTCGAGCGCATCGCCGCCGAGGCCTCTCGCCTGGCCCATTACAACAAGCGGTCGACCATCACGTCGCGGGAGATCCAGACGGCCGTGCGCCTGCTGCTGCCCGGCGAGCTGGCCAAGCACGCCGTGTCGGAAGGCACCAAGGCCGTTACCAAGTACACGAGCAGCAAGTAAGGTGCATCTTTGCCGGTCACAAAATCATCATCATCACCATTATCATCGCGTGATCGGTGGGAGAAATAGGTCTTTTTTAAGACCAAGCACACAACTCTTGGCGAAATGGATCACTCTGGTTAGCACGCCTGCTGAGCGCGGCCGGCTAAGTCGGCAGACCGACCCCTTCACCACGTTTAGGGGCGATTCATACCATCCGTAGAATCTTACTATTCAGCACGTGCTTTGCATTGGTTATGCTCGTGAAAATTGCCAACCACCTAGTTTGCAGTGCAGTTGTAGATTGACCTGAGCTGAATGAAATCTAATTGCAATACCTAGCTGTAATGTTTCACTTGTATGCTGCATGTGTGCAACTTTGAAAACGGAACACGTCATTCCGAGACGCTAGCATTATCCATGGATGCCAAACATCGACGTGCTATTTTTCAGTATTAATGATAGCAGAAAACGCAAACGAGCACAGAAACCTTCAGAAACGCACCTGCGCCGGGGCTTTTAACAACACTTGCATAGAAGACAACTTGCTGCCCACATATGCCAATTGTGAATATGCTTAGCGGGATCAATCGTAGGCAATTGGAGTGGCGAGCGCATACCGTCCAACAGGGGAGGGGGGCGGGGGGCCCGTGCGCCGGCTTTAGTTTGCAATTCCCACCGCCAGGGGCGCGCGCGCGCGCGCGCAGCCGCGCATGCGCATAGCTCATGCCGCGCCAGTTGTGTTTCTCGGTGCCACAGCGGCGGCCGAGCGCGTTTTTTTGCATTGATACCGGACGAAATTAGCCGGTGTTAACGTAGTGTCGAGCGCGTCCTCTTGCATTGATACCGGACAGCGTTGGCCGGTTTAACAAAAAGTAGTCGACCCCTGTCCCTTGCTTTGCGCCGGATAGCACAAGCCGGCTAAACGTAGCCTTTTGCCTGGCCTTAAGCCAGAAGTGAGTTCCCCAAGCCCCGGCCATGACTTAAGGCCGCCGGAGCAAAACAACAACAAAAAATCACCTGGCGGAAAAAGTGACAACGGCACCCGGTGTTCCCAGGCGGTCACCCATCCAAGTACTAACCGGGCCCGATGCGGCGTAACTCAGTGATCGGCGGGGAACTGTGTGTCAGCATGGTATGGTCCGGTTCCTGGTCGAATTTGTGCCGTGTGGCCGGCGCGGTAATGCGTCCGCGTCAGCGCATGA